CGCTCTTCAATAAGCGCCATACCTGAACTGCGGCATCCTCGAAGAGTTTTAAAGTAAGTAGGTGAACCTTTTGAATAGCAATGGATTAATCTGGACTGCGAAGTTGTTACAACGTTCTAAGACCCTTAAGACCCCGGGTTAGACTTCGTATTCTCTTGTTACTGTTTTTAAACGAAACAAAGAAAAGGAAAAATTACCCATAGAAATAAGCGAAAAATTTGATAATCACCGTGGTGCTCTTCCGAGGAAAATACGGTACTCGCTTTCCAGAATGATCAAATATACTGAAATAAGGCACGGCTAATAAGCCTGCCAGACAGTGAAAACTCGCGTAATCCAAAAAAATATTGATCTACGTCGTTTCGTTTTGTTTTCATATTCGCCGGTCAGAATATTGTATGATCGTTTCACGAAGAAGCACTCGCCGAAAAAACGTTTCAGTTGATTAAAGTCATGGCATTTTTCAAAAACAGAGACAAACATATCGTCAACAGACATGAGCTTAACGTACGGCTTAAGGTTAAAGGTGTCTCGCGCGTCCAAGCGATGTAGCGCGTCCGGTTTCTAAAAACTATATAGATGCCTAAACCCTGTGTCAAATTAAAGCTTATAGGGCTGCATGGCTATCAAACTATACAAAGAATTTCAAAGTATACGAATTGTCAAATTTTCTTTGTCTCTAACTGTGAGCTTCCGAATCACCATTTGAAAACCACAAGTCAACGAGATTTTGCTCGTTTGCCCTAAAATTTGCCTGAATAGTTGCTACTTTAACATATAAACAACAAAAACGTGTATAAGAATTTTTTATTTTGAAATATTTTTTTCTCCGAGAGCAATTTTTTGTACGATCATTCCACATTTTTTTATCTTCAGTAGTTTGTAAAAGTTCAATTATAACTTTTCACCATATTTGATTATGACTAAACGCAGACAAATTTTTTAACGCTTTGGGTCTGGACTGAAAAACAAATTAAATTTGCCGGCGAAAAACAAAATTCTCTTTGACTTGAAGCTTTCAAAAGGTGATTCGAACACTCGAATTTAGAGGTCATGAAAATTTTTAGGTTATCCAGACCTTCGAACCAGATCATAAATATATCATCGATATATGATAGCCAAGTGTGGAGTTGAAATAGGGCATTTTCCAAAGCGTTGGCTTCGAAATAACCCACGAAAAGGTTAGCATAAGAGGGGGCCATTTTAGTACCCATGGCGGTGCCATGGATGTGAAATGAAGATAGTGGTTATCATCATCATAGGAGAAATATTAATGGTAAAAATCGTGCGAATGAGGTCACAGAGTGTGCCAGTAGGAATGGTATTATGAGAGGAAGTACGTGAAAAATGCTCACAAGCCAGTTAATACCTTGATTATGTGGGATATTAGTATATGATGAAACATCAATTGTAACTAAGGGGTGGCGAATGGTAAATGCGAGACTTTGCGAGACGCCGAGACAAGCGTTTTTCTTTGCGAGCCCGAGACATTTTGCCTTTTTGGATTGCGAGACCGAGACTTCAAAGCGCTTTGAGTGCGAGTGCGAGGGGCTCAGACTCTTAAACTTCGAGCCCCAGATTTAGCTGAGAGCTAGAATGAGCTTGTACAACGTTAAGCCAGCTTCTTGGAACTGACTGGAACTGGAAATTCGATTATAACACACTATGTTATCATATCCTAGAGAAAAATAACTTTTTCTGGCGCCAAAACGAATGTTGCAGGAGGTGTTGTACCTTTTTGTGGAACTAAGACAATTTAGGAGAAGTTAGGATTAAATTCTTCTCAGAAAATTTGTAAGTTGCTTCGTTGAAATTCAATATCAAGTGAAGCCAGAAGACGTCTGTTATAAAAACAGATAAAGGAACGAATTGGGACTTCGACACCCTTAGCCTTGCGAAAAATCGAGACTGCCAGACGCACATAACCGCTAAAAAACGAGACTGCGGGACCCATGAAATTCGACTAAAATTTTACGAGACCCAGAGTTTTTGAAGGACCATTCGCCACCCTTTAAATAGCAAGGAATTAGCGCGTAAACTGACCCATAGTAAGGAGTTTGTTAAGAAAGTCGTTAGTGTCGTTAACAAAGGAAGGCAGTTTATGAACTGAAGGTTGAAGGTGGTAGTCAACGAAGTGGGGCATGCGTTCAGTGGGATGGCTATTGAGATGAAACAATAAGGTATCCTGGATTACCCGGTTCATATACTTTGGGTAGAATGTAAAATAGTCCTGGTTTAACGTCAGACTGTATAAGGTACTGTTTGGTTTTGTCGTTTATGAGTTTGTCCTTATGCATTCTGTTAACGTAAACACTCACCTGGTTAATCCCTGAATTGTAGTGCTTTCGTACAATTTAATGCGCTCTCCTATTAGTTCGGATGAGGCCACAGAGCACGATAGCGTGTTATGACGTGACTTCTATAAAGTTTTACACCAATTTTTTTTTAATAGCCGTGCACTGATGCAATTGAATCAGCTCTGCAAAAAGTGCGGGAATTTTCAATTTGCTACACCTGAACTGGATAGGCCATTTCCGAATTACCTTTAGCCTCTTTCAAAGCGAGTCTTGGTGTCCATCCTTTCATATGAAAATAGGATTTCATTCACTTGTAAATTAAGCTCATTTTCATATGAATGGTCGTGCACCAGGCCTCGCTTTGATAGAGAGGTTTAAGGAACCTGGGACACGGGCTATCAAATGCTCACTTAGCTATGTTACATTAAAGCATTCTCTAAAGCAAACTCTTTTGTCTTCTT